CATCAAGGAAGTTCACCTCTTTTAAATTAGTTTTAAATGAATCGAAGCTTTTTACTGAACAGAGCTTTGACATCTTCATAATTCCCATTCTGATTTTATTCACATACTTGCCACTGCTATCCTTAGGAACAATTAGGCTATCATTATGATAAATCGTTACATCCCACTTATGAACTATATCCTTTCATTTATTATAAAGTTCCAAAACATTTCACATATCTCCATATCAAAGCTCCATGGTGACATGAAAGCTACTTCGTGTGAAACTGGCATTTGAGCTTAATTTTTTGCTTAGTTTCTACTGATATAGTAGCTTTGTCTGTTTGATTTTGGCATTTTTTTAAAAAAAACCGTAATAATTTTTTGTTTTAATCTAGTTGACATCAAGCAAATCAGTAAAGCCACCGGGATGTAACGAGTTACTGGGCGTGGAAGAGTTAGAAACAGGAACATTGCTAAGGAGTAAGAACAAAGTAATCAGGACAGTAGATAGTGATATGATAGAAAATTAGTGGTTATGATTAACGATACATTTATTATCATCTATTAGTATTTCCAATTTATATATATATATATATATATATATATATATATATATATATACACCGTTAATGCTGAGTTTTCCGTTATTGCTATTTTTATTTTAAACATATACAAATCTTTTTCTATAACAAAAAAAAATGCTATTTATGATCATATCCATCAGTTCGAGTTTTTTTCATGCTAGATAAACGAACCGACCTAAACCTTATATATCAGTCAAGACAACATATGTTTGCTATCACTTTAGGTGAAATGCTTAGAACTTGGTTTGAAGCAAGGTAGAATTTACTAAGCATCCCACCAAAATTGTTTGGGGGTGGGGAACACGACTACATATATAATATATTATTCCCTTCCTCTTTTCTTCTGATATATCATAGAATTTTTAAAGTCAGGTACAAGGTTATAGTATTTTACAATACCCTTGAATCAAACTGATGATAATCTCGGAAATGCTTGCCCAGTGTTTCTGCTTGATGTCGGGCCCTTTCCTAGAGTTGTCGAGTGTCATAGGAGCCTGCAGCAGACATGACAAACCATCCCCAAAACATTCGTTCGCGAAGCGAAGTCATATTCAAACAAGTTTTATTATTATTGACCGACAAGAAATGTCTGTGCCTGTTTAAAATTTAGTACATTTTTCAACTTTGGGGAAACTACTCAAAGTTTTTGTTCGAGTACTTTCGACTATCTCTAATCATGATCATGGTTTTAAAACAAGAATTTTATTCGATTCATCCGGGTATTGTTAGCATAATTCTGATTTAAACATGCGTGCATCGGGGCATGAAGTAACGGATAGTTGCTCGGGATGAGGAATCGGAGTGTGGAGTTCGAATTTCAGTCGAGTTCATTATAATCACTTAAACGCTTGGGAGATGTATGTCTCCATCTTTTCTCCCTCCAGCTATGGATAAATAACAGAACAGACTGGGTCCTTACTGTCTTGGCTGGCGACTAGTTTAATAGAAGTAAAACATTCAGACATCTTGAAGAGGGTTGGTTTTCACCATGCTCTTACCCAAGACACACTACTGCGGCTGCAACGTGTGTAGTGTTCCTACGACCGTCATGGGTTACAGAACCCGTGATCATGTTTATTGGATACTAGTTACGTGTAGAATAATTTATAAATATATGTAATTGTTATAGATTTTATTTTTCATATTAATCTGTTAGGAGCTACAAAATTCAACAGCCCTTGAAGACGAAGATATTGACTTATGATTTATTTAATTTAGCGAATTACAAAAATTTACAAATAGAAATAATTATATACTTCAGAGTAAAATGTATTTTTCTGTTCATATAGTTTTCGAGTGCGCATGTGCGCGCGCGTTTTACTCATCCTTGCGAAATCATACAAGGGCTAAAATACAATAATCCGCTGGAATCAAATTCACAAACAATAGCTTTTGAAACGAGTTCAATTTTATATGCATTTTCTGAGTTCAGTTAAGTTTGATACAAAAAGGCAATAGCCGTCTCCGCTTTTTATTATAAATGATGGGCTAATTTTCTACTTTTGACGGCCAACTTTTACGGTCGCAGCTATGGACAAATAGGAAATCCCCCCCCCCACCAAATTGAATTCAAAACACTATGAAAATGAAGAAATACATTTTATAGTGAAGGTGTCAGCAATACATTTTCACAGTAAAAAAAGAAATACCAGCAATACATTTTTGTAAAAGAAATTACAAGAAATGTTCCCAAGAAAATTAAATTTCGGCTTTGAATGACCCATAAAGAGTCGATATGCCGTAAAACAAAAACACCAAACACACTTGACGGCCAGATTTCATCAAGGTCACCAAACATATATTTGGTTAACTAACAAGACCTATGAGAGACAGACTGGCATGCATTTTCACATCAACTTCAACTAATGGCTAGGCACCTGGCACGAATTTTCAGAGCAGTCTCTTTACTTATCTCTATTTTGGGACATAATTGGGTGAGACAGGCATGTTGGCCCTTTGTATCATTTCGGTGAAATCCAATTTCTCCGTTGGCCAGCGACTATTTCCCTGAATAAGATGATCTTTGGAAGCCTATAGTCCTTTATCCTTATCAAGTATCCTAGTCATTTGTAATTGAGTTTTTTGTAGCAGAGTTCAAACATATGTGGCTCAAGCCGAATTTCGTATCTTAGTGCCGATGATAAAATTGTACCAATGCAGGAACAGATTTTGCTAGTATACAGTGTAGGATCTTGCACCATCTAGACGGTTTAATGATTTCATGGAATCTGGTTTCTGTGTACGTTTTCTGCTTCTCTTGATAAGTTCATAGTCGACCAAAGGCCTCATTAACCTTGTCCAGTCTGTTGTCCATTTCATTCTCTAGTCTTGCGTCGGGGGAATTGAAGCTACTTAGGTAGGTGAAGTGCTGGACCATTTCCAGTTTTGCCAGACCAATGGAGACGTAATGTTGAATTCATCAAGATTGACCTCCATGCCAAAGAGTCCTATGGCCTTTACAAAGAAGAGTGTTACCTGTTTGAGAACTGTCTTTCTGTAATTGACCATAGCCACGTTAACTGCGAAGCAAAAACTGTCTGACCAAATGCATAAAAATTTTTTAGTACGCCCGAAGGCTAAATAGATTTCCGTTTTGCACTGAGGGTGTACACGATATCCTATCGCCTGAAGTTTGTTTTCACGTAAATGCTAAAAAAGAATATTGAAAACAGTGAGGGTTCAGAGTTTATATCTCGAAGTGTCAAAAACACTTTACGTTATATTTAAGTCGTGTTCGATTTGAGGTCACCAGTTTTGTAGTAATAGTAGTAAACTAGTTCAACTCGTCTCCTATGATACTGGCTCTTTAGCGATAGTAGATACCATTTTTACTCATCTTTATGCAAATTTTTTATACCATTATTAATCTTCTATCAAAAAAGATCAGATAGAAAATTAACAGTATAAAACGCTTAAATGAAATGCTAAACGAGTCAATAAAAATTACTCGGAGTTGCACATATCTGTACAATATTTTGCGAAAATTAAAATAGTAGTTTATATTGCAACTTAGCGTCTGAAACAATTTTAGCATACAAATTAATTCCTTTAAATTAGTTTACCTAGTATCACATTCTGAGCGCACATTTTATATCATAAAAAAAAATAATTAAAATTAAAAAAAAAAAAAAATGCCGAACCTCCCTACTTGAATCCGAAAAGTCAATTTGCTTAAACATACACTTTTCGTCGGAAATATTTTCTTTCCTGCTGACTTGACATCATTTACATTCTGGTTTATGAGTTCAATTATTTTATAGTTGTTTATAAACGGCGTAGCAACTTGGTATGACTGTAAATTACATTATTGTTTGTTATTAACAACTAAACGTGATATGATACAAGTTTTAAAGGTTTATTTATCACCAAAATGCAAATATCATCTCATATGAAATTGAAATGAATTACACTGCATTTCGAACGCTATTTTTCGTTTTTATCGCTGCAGGACTTTTCAGTGGTTGGTCGGGATTTTTTATTTCAATTATTTTTTTTATTAAGGGAAAATTGTGTTCAGAATATGAAGCTAGGTAAAGCAATCTAAGGTAAGTAATTCACTGTTAAAATCGTTTACGACCTTAAAATGGAAGATATCCAAATTGTACTACTATATAAAGTTCGATGAGTAGCAATTTTTCTTCAAGTGAAGATAGGAAATTTAGACGTTACGTTACTTTTGAATTTATGCTTGCGAGATTGGACTATTAAGATACACATACAATATGTTGATAGCAGACACAAAAGGAAAACTACAGGAACGCCAAGACAAGTTAGAAAAGGAAAGCGAGAAGAAAGGACTACAAATATCAGCTGTTAGTGTACGACTCTCATCAAAATAAAAAGTTCAAAATTCGAACTACAAATTGGTTCAAACGACTACAAATATTTAAATATCTAGCAAGTGTTTTAAACAGAAGATGGAAAATGCGATATCACAACTGTTATGCAATATCCATCCTCTTGTATGGCAGTGAGTGCTTAACAATTTCTTCATAGATGAAGAAAAAAAATGGAGGCAACAGATATATGACTCTATGGAAGGAGGCTGAGAATACTATGGACGGAACGTGTAAGCAACGAAGAAATTTTATGAAAAATAACAAAAGGAACAATTATACTCAGCATAAAAAAGAGCTGACATTTCTTAGAAGCATAATGAGGAAGAAGAGCTTGGAGAATTTAACACTCACTGGACATATCCAAGGGAAAGGAGACAAGGAAAGGCAACGGACCACCAACCTTACGTTTTTTTTTTTTTTTTTTTTTTTGTGAATGGATGGTGGAACTGGTGGTGGGACGCATGGCAAGGGGACAAACTTTGCTGAAGGCTAGGAGGCTGTAGAGATTCATGGCCACTCCATCCTGAAGAGATACAGTCCATAGAAGGCATTTTATTGATAGGTCATTTTTTTAAATTTTTGTATATCTTTTCAGGTTTTTCTATTGTAATGGGTCATATCTACAAGATCCTGTTAGGCTTGAATTTAACGAGAAGCGCAAGCATTTCGCTTACGATCTCTGTACTTAAAAAAGTATATATCAATTACTTCCCCTTAGTGAAAGGGTATATTCATTGATAGTATATGTATATTTATGAGATGAGTCGTGATAGTATTGTGAACATATGGCTTTTTTTTTCCGAACAAGAAAACGGGAATGAAATTAGAAGCAATATTGTATATTTAACATTTTATTGCCTTAGAAAAACTAAATAGGCAGCATTAGAATCCACGTCACTAAAGCCAACCCTATGGCTGAGATACGTGGATGACACCTTCCTACACTGGCCACACTAGGATGATGTCCAGCTACTACTGGACCATGTGTACTCAATAAGATCATAGATACAGTTCACAATGGAGAAAAAAAACAACAAACTAGCATTCCTGGATGTATTAATATTTCAGAGCATGGTTTCATGACATCCGTATACTGCAAGCCAACATTCACCGGAAAATAACAACTCCCACCATCCATACAGTGTAAAGAAAGGCATAATCCGTTGCTTACAACATCGAGCAAGTCATAAGTGACTGACCAGAGATATATGAATAAGAAATGATCAGTATAAGCCGTACCCTATAACGTAACAACTACCCTGGGTATGTAGAGAACCGTGGCGGTGAAGATATAAAGAACACACGTGGGTTAAAATTTCCTGCTAGCCAGCGCAGCTACATGAGAATGTTGGATTTTAATTAAGTCCAAAGAAGACAAAGAAAACAAACAAGACCGATTATTATATACAAACAAATATATGTATTAACAAGTTACAAGCACATGGACAGTTACATTGAGTTTGTGAGGTGAATATTATGTGTGTGTATTGTGGTGAGTGTTCGTACGTACGTGTATTGGTATTGTTCTAAGCGTGTTCCCAGAATTTGGGAAACGCTGTATTGGTGAGGGCTCACATATTGATATTAGATGGAATGAAGAGAAAAGAATTACCCCATCTCATCAACGCGAGGTGGTGTAAGGCCCAAGGCCTGAGGGAAAAGAGAGATCGAGTCAAAAGGTCACCCAGTATTTATAGTCAGGGGAGAGAGAGATCCCTGGTGAAGGGTGAAGAAACTAAGGAGGATCTAACTCCAACAGGTACATGGCCGCAGCTCCGACAAACTGGGATAGAAGAGGCTAACTGTAACCACACCCAGAAAACAGCTTCGGTCTGCCTAAACGTATGTGAAGGGATTATTGATGGATGAGGTCGAATTAACAGACAGAACATCACTAGCAAATACGAAAACTTAAGGAATCAGCACAAAAATCTCGCAAGCCGACCAAGCATAGAAATAAATACAATGTAAGGACCAGTAACACGGAGTGCTAGAGAAAAACAAGGAATAACAAAATTGCAATATGAGCTCTGGTAAAAATGATTACTGTGACATTAAATTTATGTCCCAAAAATTCAAACACTGAGGTCCACACGGACACATGGCCCAGTGGATAAAAGCGTTAGTTGGATCCAAAGAGTTGTGAGACTTTGTTCACCACTGCAGTAGGCATAGATGAACAAAAACTTGGAAAGTTGAGTTAAAGGGAGATAACTGAAACATCTGGAAAAGGCATAGTACGTCTATCCCGATAGACGAGATAAAGGGTTCAGTTCGAAATTCCAATCACCTGAAGAAAGAAGAGGTATTGAAAGAAACAAAGATGAGGACAACAGTTGAACAATGTAAATAGTCTAAATAATATTCTCAGAAATATAGACATATATTTTATTAAAGAAGAGGTAAAAGAAAGTGTGAATGAAATTCTTGTTTGTTGAAACTTGAAACGGTGATAAATTCCTGTTGAACTGAATAAATATATATATATATATATATATTTGACGGTTTATCAGCTTAAGGTATTTCTATGCGGTGTTGTGTACAATACGACCCGTGGTTCGCTGGGAACTAAAAAAGTCGGAAGGAAAAGAAAACACGTCCTGTCTCTCCAGTATTCTATGGGTAAATAAATAAGATCCTGAACCATTTTCTTTTGTACTGCTTTTTTTTTTGTCGACACCATCAAGCATTCGTTAGATGTTCATTAGCGAAAAAAATGTGGTAATTCTACAAATAAACCGTTCTTTAACTTCGTCACCTCGGTAAAATCTAGCGTTTTCGGTGTGTAAAATCCATATGGGTATAATATTCAGTTAAAATGTTATTACTCAACAAAAATACCTGAAAAGAGATTTTGTTTCGAATCAATTGCATTATTTTTCAACAAAACAAATATTTTCAAACAGCTGACACTACTGACGCCTTAAAACAATCTCATCACTTCAAAATGTAGCTTTTTTTTTTTTCAATTCAATTATTGGTTCAAGGAATTTCAAGTAACAACAAATTTTTCTGCTCAAGGAAATCACACCGGAAGCAAGTTACTATTATCTCCCTTTCTGCATGCTCTCTAATTTGCGAAAATGACAAATGAATGGATGATTGTTTTCATATTCCCTTCAGCTGGAAAAACAAGATAACAAAGCAAGGAAACAGATTAATTGCTCAAAATGCAAATTTTAAAAAATTATTTTTTTTAAGAATCTGGAAAATGATTGGGTTATCTCAATAATTGTAGCAGCCAAAGGAATTAAGTGTCAGTCTTCGTTTTGAATATGATCAAGAGAAAACAAAATGAATAAAAATACAACATCATGCCATAATCTGTTAGGGACGATATTATAATCCTCATATCGTTTGTTGCTGATAAATTATAGCAGACATGAAAAATAATTAGAATAAATTTTTACAATCAAAAATGAAAAAAGAACAGAAAAGATAAGCGTTAAAAAATCAGAATATTCGTTAATGATTTTTTTCGAACACGTATTGTTAAATTTGTTGTTTTTTTATCAAAACATTTCGATCCTTCTCCCTCTCGAGTATCTGTTCCATTCAGTAACGTTCGGAGAATTTCAAACAAAGCGTTTTTATTTCTATGTTTTACACATTTTGACTGTTATGCTCGTGTTGGATTTACCAAATATGTGGGTGAACTTATCTATACGATACGAATATTTACCAAAATATTTATAATAAAAAGAATAAGTCCAAAGAACGTAAATTCAGTTTTCATTTTATTTTTAGAAAAATAACATGTTAGAAAAATCTATAGAAATGTGTTACATGGCCTTTTTCCAAACCTGAAAATGAAGGCTACAAAAGAAGTTTTCATGCAGAGGACCGTGTGGGATTGAGTGTTGTTGAATTAGAAACACGTGCTGTTTATTTCCTGCTAGAAGAAGGTCCAACTACAGGAACATACCAGACTCAAGTTGAGTCCAACCGAAGATGTAAAGAAAACAAACAAGACCTATATATATATATATATATATATGTGTGTGTGTGTGTGTCAAGAAATATATGTATTAAACAACAAATGACAAAGACATTAACATTTGTGTCTGTGTGAACGTAAAGAGTTTGTATTTTGTTGAATGTTCGCACGTACGTGTATGTGTGTATAATGTTCATGGCGTCTCCCACAAATGGGAAGACGCTATTTTCTGCGAGAGCTTACACTGTAGATGTGTTCGCTGAAATGAAAAAGAAGTCGCCCAGTATTTGTGTAGGGAGAGCGTCCCCTAATGAACAATTAGGGAATTAAGGAGGAGCTAACTCCGACATTCACTCTCAAATCCATCACGTCATCTTACAATGTACCCACGTGTCAGGAACGCCTCGTCTACTCATAAATTGTCCTGCCTATCAAAAGATATTCCTTTTATACTGACGTTTTATGGGTCACCTGACCGGACAATCGCAGTGGCTACTAACTGGGAAGGCAAAAGAAAGTTAACGCAACGGCCATTGTACACTCCAGCTATCTTCAGGTGTCTATCTTCTTACTAAGCAACCATCTAAGACAGTGGTTCTTAAGCTTTCTTGAGTTACGGACCCGTTTAGTCATGGGCTCCTATAAGAACTCGCCTTTCATAGATAGATGCACAAGCAGATACTCAGTCTGATTGTTTTTGCATAACACTTGTACGTGCATTTCTCCATATTGCACCTTCATGAGCGCTACACAAACCTCACTTTTCAGCCAGTCACGCTTGAAAGAAATGGTCAATTAATCCTCACCAATATATGAGAAGATAATCAAGCCGAGGTAAACCGTGAAAAATTAAAATTATCCCTTGCACTCATGGAGAGGCAAAAGATAGTGGTCGTGCAGAGAATGATGACACACGTTAAATGATAAACACAGGCTAAACAGCAAGTGTTGAGGCATCTGGAAGTCGGCACTGTAAGCAGTGGATGGGTGTGTTTTCTTTCAAGAAATGTCAGGATACATTTTCTTTTATTTCCTCCAACGGGAAACAGTTAATTGGGACAAGTGCTGTATAGTGAATATAAATGATAATTCTTATCTGATCCTCACGGACCCAGAAACCCTTCCATGAAACCCTAGGGGTTCATGGTTCCCAGGTTAAGAAGCTCTGTTCAAGGAATTTCTAATCGAACTCTTCATTCAATTCCTATTTAGGTTATATTTTATGTCAGTTAAAAATCACCTATATTATTCACATTTGTTAGTCCGTTTCTTCCAGTAAACCAAAGCTTATAACTTTTCAGCATTAACCGACGTAGGAATTGAACTCAAAACTGACAAGGAAGCAGACATTTTTTGACCAAAGCTTTAACCCAGTGGCTGAAACATTGCGAGTCTAACAACCAAGATGAACATGCTAGTCTAAAATGCAATATATAACAAATAATGGCAATTCCTCATTTAAAAACTTTCGACAAAAAAATAAAATAAAAAAGATTTCTGTCCAATGACAATTTCGCATTCTTTGCTTTATAGCATACCTTGTGTTCTTTCTGGGTATTTTTGAACTCGTAAATGCTTCTATTCCAGTCGCTGCCCATGCTAATATTATTGTGTTTCTTTATAGTCAGTCATCTGTGTCGGTGCCTAAAATCACCACAAAATATGCCATTTTATTCAAAGTTTGAGTCCTCAAAATGTTTATGAATCAATAATTTAATGCCTATAAGTTGGGCTTCCTTGGTGATATTTACGCGTCTTCACACAGTGACGGGATACGGTAAAAAAATGTTTACTTGGCGATTAAATCAGTGGTCACGCTCAAACAAAATACAAATATTTTGAATGCTGACTAGCTCCATTGTACTTGGAAGATTAGTGCAAAATAATCTTAAATATATATTTCAGAGAGTTAGCAAGCTCATCTTGAAATCTTTTGATGCTGTTGTAAATTCGGAATGCGCAGGTGATCTAATGATTGGCGGCTCAAAACGAGAAATTCAGTCAACCTTGTTACATTCACTATCGCACAAATAGCCGTGAAAAAGGTACGAATCTCTCTTCTCCTCCCATCTATGGATTAAATAGGACAGATTGAGTTTAAGCCTTGGGTGACATCTATTGTAAGAGAATGGCAATACTGAATACCAAACCTAGGTACGTGGAACTCGTTAGAGTGGGGGCACGTAGTCGTCAAAGAGAAGGATGACTCCAACAATTACTCCACCTCGTGGAACAGTTAATTGACAAAATCCTCAAAAAGGAAGCTTTATGTGCCTTGGGCCACCAGACAGATAATTGTGAATGCGAGTCTCACTGAGTAACATTACATCAAAATAAACTCAGCTTATTATATAACAATATTTTGAATGTCTCTCCATGCATTTAACAAGCTCATTTTACGAACCAGTATTTCTGTTTGATTCAGCCTGGGTTCCCGAAAATCATTTCCTTGTACCCGACCAAGCTAATATAAATACTTACAATCCATGAAGAAAGGATAATGAGAGATAAAATAAGTTCAAGAAATGAAAAAAGAAATGCACAGCGTGGTCCGAACGTCTTGTCATCCCGTACGAAAAAATGAGAACAATAAAACAAATAATGCAAATACAATGTACTTTCCTTGGCGCTTTCCCACATTGAGAAGGTCTGTAGCAGCTCGTGTCGGCCATCTGAAATAGAAAATTATATTATTTAGGGGTGGGGACAATTCTTTCGGACCACCCTGTATATTAGAAGTAAAAACAGTACCCTGGTTAGTAGCATAAAAATATTGAACTTTTTTTCTCGAGGAGGTTCCCCATATCAAAGTTGCAAGTGTCTAGAGATACGACACACTAAATATTGACTCTACAATCAGTATTATTCATTCTCGTACGACGCTGAATTCTTTGTCTCGTCTCTCCATAAAAGAGATTCACCGAGAAAATACTTCCCTTATACGACAGCATCTATTTCTCGCTCTTTTATTGATCTACAATTACCAAAGGAATCTGCTCGTCCATTTCCTGTTCCTCATTCTTTTTCCCTCCAAGACCATTTTCAGTCAACAACAGTCAGTCTGCATTCACGCTGCTATTGCACGATTCTTGTTTTCTTTTTTTTTTTTCCTCCTCCCCACTTACAATTCTATACGACTTCCGGAGACACCTCTTTACTTTCGCTGACATCTTGTAACTCTTCAGTTTAATTTCCTGTTAGCTTTTCTGACTATTTTCAAAGAAATCTGGGAGAGGAGAGACAAATAAAGATTTTTTTTTTTTATTAATTTTAAACCCTAACCTCAGATTCCTTTTCTTGTTATTTCTATATTGTCTCTACTCTTTCTTCTTCTCACTAAATTCTTCCCATATCTTTTTTTTTTTCAGCTTGAAATATAATCTCCTTCAAAAAAAGCAAAGATCTTGCACCAAGTAACCTTTAACTGAACTCAGATTTCTCGTTGTCAGCTATGAACTTCCGATCGAATTTTAAAAATATCGTTTACTTCTCTCGACCCCCAGTTTTAGTTGATATATATATATATCTCAAGTGTTTCTTTTGACTTAAGGATAGCCCTACTTTTTAAAACTCATTTAAGACTGGCCGTTATTATTTATTCCAGTTTAGCCCGGACTTTAAATAACGCATATTATGAAAGAAAAGCCAATATTTCAAACGATGTTTTTTTTAGAGGTAACACTTTTTTCCATTAAGAATTTGGAAAAATGAAAAAATATCCTTATTCCTATTTTACTGAAGGTAAAATAACTAAAAGTACGACATACTTGTACGCATAAGCCTCTACAAATATTTTGATTGCTTTCTCTTGTCCTGTTTTTCGATCACATTATATTTTAATTCTAGCTATTCATTTCTTTGTGTGTGATGTTCATGGTGCTTCCTGAAGGAAATGCATAGCGCCCCCGACGAGAGATTATTGTTGTAGTGTCAGCTGAAAAATGAAAAGAGACATATTCACCTGCCGCCCTACGCGGTAAGATGCAGCACAAGGCCAAATTTATTGTGGGGTATCCACGCCCTTAGGCTCGGTCAAAAATTTTCTGTAGACCCCGTAGAAAAAGGGGGTCAGGTAGCTGTCTACCACTCCAGATGAGACTCTGCCCTTCAGCATAGCCTCGTCTGGGTTCCTCTCTGCCCAGAGGCAGAGTTCGACCATCATACCGCCGAATTAATTCGGAAAATGAGAAGAGATCGAGCGAGACAGGATCTTGCCGTGTATATAGAGCATTGGAGAGCGCCACCAAGTAGTGGTTTCAAAATTTAGGAGGCGGTAACTCCGACACTCTATTTAATAAAGTACCTTCTATGTGCTGTGCTGCTTCAGAACATTGATGATCATGGCGCTCCACAATTTCTTGTCTTTGTAGCTCTTAAAAAATGTTTTTTCCTATCTCATCCAAACCCTGCTCTGCCATCCATTAATTCAACCACGCCAGATAGGTTGTACGTTTCTTTTTGTTTCCATTTTCTCTCAAACTTTCTCATTTCTCACATGTTCTGTCCATGGTATTCTCAATATCCTTCTATAGAACCACATTTCTGTTGCTATACTCGTCAGCTTTCTCGTGCAGTCACCGAAATTAAGCAATGTATGGCTTGGTTAGTACCTAGATGGGTGACTGCTTGAGAATACCAAATGTTGTAAGCTTGAATGTGGGCGCGGTGTAATGGATAACAACTGGAGAGAAAGTTCGAATTCCAATCGGGTTCGTTATATTCACTTATGCGCAAATACCATTGGGAAAAGCATGAATCCACCTCTTTCCTCAAGTTATTGGTTAATTAGTACGATTTTGATTACTAATTCATTACTATCTTCAAAAATTCTTAAAATCTAAAACTATTTTCTTACATTAAATCTCTATCGTTAAAAGGCTGTGTGTGTGTAACGAACCCACGGCCGCAATCTTCGACGGATTTGCACTAAAATTTACATGCACATGCTCCAAGTTAGCGGGAAGGCCAAGATCAACTTTGCATTTCCCAACTCCCATCGATAGTAGTAATAATCGATATTTTTCATGCTTCTACGACAGTTTTCATGTAGTTTGCTGCCATTTTGTACTAGCCAGAGAGAGAGAGAGCCAATAGCTGGCTGCCACGAATAGGCAGGAAGATTCTATTGGCCAGCGTGAGAACCAACAGCTGACTGACACGAATGTTAACTAGCATGCTAGCATGCAAAATAAAATCGATAGCTGCATTCGTCACAAGTGGGGAAAAATTTAACTCTGCATGGCACTTTACTTCAATTGGCTCATTCGCTTGCTTAAACTCAACGTTGATTCTGATTCCGCAGAACTGGGTTGGGTGTGAAAAAGTATTTGTTGTTAACATTCTTTTTTTATTCGGCTTTTTCCAGTTGCGAGTCCTTTTTTAAAGCTGATCGTTTTGTGTTCATTTTGTTTAGTTCTTTCTTCGTAACAGATTTAATGTTTAGTATAGATCTTAGAAAAAATTCGCTGTGTGAAATAAGGAAGAAGTAAGGTATGTAGCAACATCAGCACAGCAAAGGGCATTCATTTAAAGGCAAGGAAGGGCAAAAATATTTTAAGTCAAGTGATGGCGATTGCTGTATGAGTCGTACGATTTTTGAATCAAGCACGGGCAACGCCGGGCCATGCTGCTAGTAATTTGTAAAGGGTTGATAAGCTGTAAAAAAAAAATCAATCAGCCAGTCAATCATTTATAATCAGCCTATGAATTCTAAATTATTGGTATCTACAAAACATTCATTTATTTGCATTACATTACATATATAAATTTATTAAACTGGGCTTTTCGTCCTTTTGTAATGGTGAGCAAGCTTGCCCCACCAGATCACTTACGACTGAATAGTGAGTTCTTCCCTCACCTGCTGCCCCATACCTTCGGCTTTCTACCACATATAAGCTACGCTTAGAAAATCACCATGTAAATTTATTGAACGTAGCTCATATTACGATCGTTCCTTTGGCCATAAAAAAATAAAATCATACATTTGAAATAAAACGAAAAATAGCGTTCGGAATGCAATTTAGTTCGTCTATTTTTTCTGTAGTTAGAAAATAAAATTTTATTCAGCATTTATTCCCAACAAGTCTGAGAATTTGGAAAATAAAAATAAGTAAATTAAAAAGGCCAGACCTACCTACACCAGAAATAAAATGAAAAATATTTTAAGGCAGATAAATAAGTGTTATATAAAATGTTTGAAACTGACTAAACGGCGTCATTTATATTTTATTTATAAATAATACACGATATATAAAACATTTATAAAATAACTTTTAATTTTGAGTAAAGAAAAACTATTTATGTATTCTCTTTGACTTTAGACTAGAGCAAGAAAATGTCCACCCTGAACCGACAATACCAATTTCACGAGATCAATGACGACAAAATCTCTTAAAATTTTTGACATTTTTCTTTCAAATGTGGAGTTCTTTTTCATGGTTTTTATAACATGAATTTTTGTTCGTTGGAGTGGTCTGGTCGAATTTTATGGCCTCCTTTTGTATAGTTGAAGTGGGTGGCAAGTCATCACGACTTTCTATGGTCAGTTTTTCAACAGGTCAGATGCAGAAATATTAACCAGTCTGTGCAATACCAGAATGCTGATCTTGCGCCTGGAGAAATGACTGACAGCTTCCGGTCTTCGATTTTCAAACAATGGTTGAAAATGGTATTGAAGGCCTTTTCTGTCAATCACCAGGTCAAAACGACACTTCCTCAGAATTCGGTCACAGAACTTAGGGTTCGGTTATAATCTCCCCATACTAAAGGGAAAACGCAGCGAAGATAATGCCACCATGGTCTACAATTGGTCCTGATATTCGATCTTAAAAATACTTAGCTTTGTTTCTAAATTCTTTTTGATCAAGGCCATTCTTCTGATATTGGCAGCAGTATGTTTCACATGGGAAAAGGCTTCGATGGCCAGTTGGAGTTTTAGACACAAACCTAAGACAGTTTATTACATCTTTCAGGGACTTGACAATCTTTTCAGTTTTTTTCTGCCAGGCACAAATGTTTTTTCTATATGACGTTCAGTTCTGGCAGATCGACCAGCAATCTATCTACAACACTTTGCGTCTTAGTCAATGTAATTAGAGGTAAGAAGGTCCACTTGTAATTCTACTATCCATTACTGTTTCTTTTTGTTGTTAGTTTTCGTACCTTTGGTATTATTTTTTCATGAGCCACCTTTTTTGGGGGTCCAGAATCAGGCATTTACAGCCTAGTTCACATCAGATTCGGCCATAAAAAAGAACAGTCCTACTTTGAGAATAATCCGACCTGAAGCCAAAAAGAAAAAAAAATAGTTCAGCGTTCTTATTTAGAACGCAAAATTTTTTTACATCTGATTTTTTTAAGTGCTCAAAACGAAAAAAAAAAAACAAACATACATGCATGTCTAATCATTACAATATAAACAAACGCAATTCCGTGACAATAGGTTTGGAATAGGACCAGGAAGTTTATACCAATTCGATAGGCACAAGTGGAAGTCACTAAAATAGAAATTGGCACGGACGTAGTAAAAATTAGATAATGTGATATGGAAAGTGATTTTAACCAATTACTGTTGATTTGAAGTAAATTGAAGAGACGCTAACTTACAAGCCTCGTAAATAAGAATTCTTTTTTTTTTTCTTTTTTTTTTTCCTTCCTTCAGTAATCAGTCAGTTGACTCGGAAACACTGTCACAATCGATACTAAACCAGCCGACCCAGATTTACTAATCTATAGTATTATTCTTTAAGTTTTGGATGCCAAAATTATTTTATGATATATGACTAAAATATGAATTAACATTAGCTAACATACTCCTGGCATCAGTTTAAAATGCCGCCTTTTTTTTTTTTTCATATATTGTGACCATTTTACTTAAAGTTCCTATTTTCTTGATTTCAGATGAAAACGTAGATATTTTCACTTTCAAAATTATAGTTTAGCTATATGGGGGGGGGGAGTTGTCAGATTAAAAACTGACACCAGAGAAATATGGGTTATTGCGTGACACTGTTCTTTAATTTTTGAAGGTAAAAATGTTTAGCTTTAAAAATGTGCCAGTATGAGGCATAAAAGAAAGTTAATGTAGTATTATTCTTTCACTATTCAATCGATGTGAGAAAAATCGCTATGTTTGAATTTCTATGAGATTTTTTTTTATAGAAAAGCA